CATCCTCAGTTGGATAGCGATCAATGACAAAGTAATATGATGGACAGCAACTACCAATCCAATAATTAAACAAAGTAAGAGATCCTTAGCTTTAAGGGGACACTCTATTGTTGTTAGATTTAGATTTTGTCATATCTTAGTACACCTCATAGCAGATTTCAGGTGCTTCTATGTATCTTATCGTGAGAGAGCCATGTTGTTGCCAACACATGTGGTATTGTAGATGCGAATATCCATTTTGCTCTATATCCTAACTGTTCATGTAAGGGTTAATTTGAATCAAGAATAAATTTGGAATTGTATCTCCAATTCTCAGAAATGTTATTGAAACTTTGTTATGTTCCTGGAAAATGATATTTACATGACATGACATGATAAGGATTCTGGAATGACCTTGTTAATTGTCCAAGATTTCGGTATTTGTAATCATCTGGGTTTTATCCAATATGCATACATTATGTAACATCGAATTATAACTAAAAACAGCTGTTTATAACTTGTGAAAAACAATGTCATTGTCACGCCCATATGCTCATTTTTCCCCCTCCCATCCTGCTATGAAAATGGGGTATAAATATAACTGACGTATGAATACAATTTGAATTGGTTATTGAACACGTCTCTGCTATTCATTTCCAATTTCCAGAGCTCTGTATGAGTTGGCAAATATCCATCATCCACAAAGGGCCAGGCTGATTTTATCCCCAACAAATTGGTGTCAGAAGTGGGATGCAATTAGGAACGAGGTTGCAGGTAAGGGGGTCTTTAGCCCCTTGGGGACACAACTTCTGGAATTTAAGGGTATCATGACGGAGTATTTCTGTCGTGTGTCCTTAAGGGGTTGGGGACCTTTGCCTGCTTCTGCCATCCTCCCACACATTGCATTTCTTGTTTTAATGGGGTTTTTCACTATTTACATTTTTAAAGGGGATTTTCACAGGATAATGTCTTTGGTAGACATGGTATTTTGTTAAGTCTTAGGTAGACTTCTATTACTCCACGGGTTGGAGGATTGCCTTTGGTAGGTAGTAGTAGTTATTGTGCACATTTCCTCTTTGGTAAGAGGTTCACCTTTGGCCAGGTGTTAAAAATAATTTCAAGCCTTTGGTAGGCTGTGATGTCCTGTGATGTACATTTACATATGGGAGACGTCCCTAGATCCCTCTTTGGTAGAGGTTGCCTTTGGTAGGTTATAAAACAGATTTCCAGTCTTTGGTGGACTGTGGTATTTATTTAACGTAGATGTCAATTTTGCAGACTAAAATGGTTATTAAAAAAAAAAAAAAAAGGGGGGTTAAAAGGTATGATGGATGTTTGGCATTACTCCGGCTTGCTAATTTATGTGCTATTTTATGATGTGCAACGCTGATTTTAAGCATAAAGTCTTAATTGAGGGAATGTAAAAAGTACATGTAAAGGTGATGATGAATAAGAAAAAACTAGAGGTTATTTAAGGGGGGCTACAAATTCTAGAACTAACATGATTTCTCTGCATGTATGTTTGTTTGCATAATGAGCCCCTTATTTTTATACTTGGTCAAAAGTACTATAAGCCCACTACACTTTTTCATGAGAGTGGGATGTATGATTGTTTATATGATGAGCCCTTTATTTTCATATTGGGACAAAAAGTCACTTCATTCAAAACGTCAAACACCACATTCTTTCTGCCCTGAGTGTTTGTTGCAGAGAATTTATGTTGTAAATTTAGATGATTATGAATTAGAGAGCAAAATGTATATTTTCAGCGTTCCAACACATGCTTCATATTGTGCTGTAAGCTAACTTGTAGTATTCCAGTATGTCACATGTTGTATGTGCTTTAAATTGTATGTATTCTGTAAATTATTGTATGGGGTTGCTGAGATTTTATTGCTTGTGACCCAAACTGTGAAGAAGTGGGTTTGAAATTTTGGTCATGGAATGTAGGATCAGAAAACCATGGACAAAGGTTTTTACCTGTGTTGATATGACTTTTGGAAACTCAAATTGACCGGTCAAAATTTTGCCATGCCTTTAACATGGAGTAGTATAAATATTTTGAGTCTTTGAGAGTTCTGACAAATGCAGGTGATACCATGTCTGTGTAATCTGGTCCAAATGTTCTATAAGCGTATAAGAGAGAAATTCCATTGACAGGGTACATATGTTGCAACTGGTTAATGCAAGTGTTATACAAATGTTTAAGTCAAACGCGTTATATGGCCGTACGGGATCCCTTCTGTAAAAAATAAAAAATAAACCCTTTGGTACCAGAAATCTTAAATAAATCCAATACAAACTAAAATTGGTATACCTTACAATAATATGTTCTGAATACAGCTGTTAGAAGTTTATTCTGTGTGAATGATGATTGTCATAAATGTTTGTTTTGGTTACTCATTTTGAAGTGCGCAGTTTAATTGTCATGTATGTTAATGGGTATTTTGCTGTGTTATTTTAAATTATATTTGAATAAGTTTGTTTTAGTATTGATACAGATGAAAATGGCAGCGTAATAATCTATTAAATAACTGATTTATTATTGAATACTTGTCCAAGAGCAATATGAGTTGTAGTCTTAAGAAAGAAAAAAAAGAGGGAGTCTGTTTTTGTAAATTTTAGCTGATTTCCAAAATTCTGTTGCAATAATGGACTTCCTGCCAAAATTTGACTTTCCTGTCCAGTTGCCAGGTGCTCTGATCTAATCTTAAAGCAGTACTGCTTGCATTGTTTGCAGACATGCATAATGCACAAATATGAGAACCAAATTATGTCCGTCACATAGTGTGACATTTATTAATTTATTTTGGATTGAGTTAATTGCCTGTCCATGAATATGCTTTTTGTATTGGCATGTCTGCTGGATATCTGCTACATGTTTTCTGTGCTATAAGATGATGTGTGATATTACAATGAGTATGAAGAATATTTAAAGAATATTTGCATGTCATTAACGCAAGCCTTTAGTGTCTTTTTACAACAGATTAAAAAAACACTGATCAGCCAACAAGAAAGGGGCCCCTGGGAAAGAAAAAGAAAAAATATATCATTTGCTTTTCAAAATCGTGGATCCACGTTTCAGTATTATTAGGGGAGTATTTAGAGTTAACGCTACTTTTAAAGTGCATTGCATTATTTAAGAAAAGAAAAATGTGTTACGTTATATGGTTATATAACAAGAAAAATTATGGATGTATAGGATAGGTTTTTTCCAAGATTAAGATTCATCTAGTATGCCTCATTGATTATAGGAAAATGATGAAATGGTATTTTTAATAGAGATCAGATAATTTCTTTTGAGGCAATTCTAAACTACTGTATTATATTTGTATTGGTATATTGAAAGCATTTTGCAGACCCAGAAGAGAATAAATAATATAATAATAATAAAAGGAACCATACTATGGGAAGAGGTCACCCTATTAAATTACTAAGGGGTTAAACTCATTTTGATAAGCATATAAAATTTAGTTTTTGTGGTTAGAATTTTTGATACTCAATTTGAACTCAATTGAAGTATTACAACCATATCCTTGCAGGTATAGGAAACAGCTGCAATATGATTTTAATATTTGCAATATATTAGTGTTCTGACAATGGAAAAGTTCCTAACCGCATGTCTGTATTACACCTATGACCCAGACTGTCAGTATTGCAAACCCCATATGAAGACTTTGCTTTCACTGTTTATGTATACACCCCTAGACAACCGTGCTATACAAACACAATAAATCTTCAAAAGCCTATTAATATTATATCTGTGTGGTACACAAATAGGTGTACACAAAGAGGGGGTGTGAGTTAAGTCATCTCGACCTTCATATGGAATATGCTTCCTCCTTGTTCACTTTTGGTCAAACTGTTGGTCTGTGACTGGCCCTCTTTGAACTGAATTTCTTGGGAAGATTCATGAGAAAGATACAGCAGGTTGTTTTGGATATAAAGAAAGAGGGAAAAGTATGTTGTATCGGTCACAAAAGGATTGTGATCTTAAGCAGGCGAGACAAAGAAAGTTTGGAGGTGATAGATTGAATCAGAAAAGTTTTAGAGGCAGAGGTAGAGAATTTGATCAAAGGATTTAACTTTTGTAGAGATGGTAACTTCAGCACTGTTTTAATTGTGGGTAGCAGGGATTCACCCCAAGGTGCTTGTGTTCTCCTGGCCCAGCTGGCATTCAAGGACTCCCACCCTGGCAGGTTCCTCAATACCAACCACAACTTTCAAGCTATACCCACACCCAACAACCTCAGCCTAATACACAGATGGTTCATGTTTTTAATACTTTATATATAGTTTTGATAGATAAAACAGTATTAATGCTGGCTCTTAGAGGATGTACAAGTTGAAGTTGGGACCTAGACATTGTTTGCATAGGCTGTGCAATGTGAAATAACTAAAATAAAATAGGATAATAAGTATGCTTAGTCAATTTGTAAAGTGGTATAATAGAGGCATCTGCAATAAATTAAGTGGGTTTCCAAGACCTGACAAGTGAGAGCAACTTAATATAACATATGCCTACAGTTTGCTGTCCCTTCCTTATCAGAGGCCACTTGCAACACAGCAAGACAACTCTTCCTAAACTTGTATTAAACAAAGCACTTTAGAACAATAGTAATTTATTTTGTTTCTCCTATTTCATTCCTAGTTGTTCTGAAAAAAATATATTGTTTAAGTGGGATAACTGTATGGAGGTTCCAACATGTATTAAAACATGATCACACACATCGGGATCTATAAAAGGTTTCGGTTTCCAAAGATGTTATCAGGGTCCACAAAATTTTATTAAAGTAATTAATTGAGATTATCAAATCAAGGTTTAAGTTTAAGAACAGCATTTTATTGGGAATTATACCAATATGTATATGTTAGTGTTTTAGTACTCAACAAGCATTTATATAGAATGAGTGCTTCTCTCATCCATACAAGGCATTTTAAAGGGAAATTATGTATTAAAATTTTATAAAGGACATAAACAAAACTGAGAGACGTACATGTTACACTAGTTAAGAGTTTAACTTTAGTCTCTAATTTGAGTTTAGCCTAGATAATTAATTTATTGATGTCGTACTGATCCTTGTGTTTGTATGATTATAGAGACTGTACTGGAGTATTTGTGCTGCCTGATATTTGGGACTACACACCAATCTCTCTGGCTGACCTACCTGCCTACTTACCTTTTTTGCAATTAAATCTGTTTGGTCAAAAACCATGCTGGCCGAAGAAACTGAGATGCTTACTTATGAGGACATAAACTAACTTGGAAAGTCCTGAAGATGCAGTGCTGTCTAATGCCGCTATTTCTGTATTACCCTTTCAACAATTGGGGTGTTGCACAGAGTATTGTGGTGAACATCCAGCAAACAGAAGAATTAAGAACTATGTGGAAGCTGACATTGTCTTGTTGTCAGCCATATTGCTACCCTTAGCTATGTTATGGTGTCTAAGATTATGGAACAAAGTTTATGGTGTCTAAGATTCTTTATACTCCTTGAAAGACTTATAATATTTTTCTGGACTATGCTGGACTATTGAACTATTTTGTTATTTTTATTTTTGTAGAGTTAGCCGGAGAGAGAGGAAGTGTTAGCTTACTCAGGCATGGATGTACTATGTGTGTCATTGATGTATGTTGAGTGTACCAAGGATGGATTCCAATGTATTAAGTGTGGATATGACTGGACTATCGAAATAGGGATTTGATTAGGAGGCATAGGACGCAAGGTCATGATTGGGATTATTGCTAGAATTGCAAACTGATTAGAAATGATCTTATGATTTAATATGTAAGTGGCCTTTTCAAACTAATCAAGAAGTGTTTCCCAATCCCGATACCTGAGCTATTTACTTACATAGTGCAGGTTTTATAAGTCACTAATGCTGTCAACGTGAGGGGATGACATGTTTACACAGTCATGGCCCTCACTTAGAATTTACCCAGATGTGCTTTTTTTCTCAATTATGAGTTTTTGCCACTGGGATTTTTGACCTGGCCCAAGTTCACTGGGTGGACTGGTAATCCAAGACCCTGGTCCAAAGAGGGGAAATAGATTTTATTCCCATTTTTGATTATATGTGTTTACGTTGTGAATTATAATAATAATATTCCTGTTGTTAGGAATAATACACTTTGCCTGTTTTGATCCAAGGCTCAAGTTACAGATAACATGATGTGCAGTATGTTTAAAATTGGTTAAGATGTCAGCTGTTTGAAATATTTAACTTGTACACTTAAAAGATGTGTACAACAGATGATTACAGAAGCTGAAAATCGACAGCTCGATCTCCTCTTAAAGGGAAAACCTACGGCATAGAGCAAATGGGGGAAATCGAGGTGAAGAAATAAGGAAAGTCCCGCAGACGTGATTAGCACGTCTGAATATACCTCCTTTCGTTTCTCTGCCGCAGGCCTCCCATGGATATTCCATAAGGTAGATCATGATATGATCTAAGAGGGGAATTGTAGATGCGAATATCCATTTTGCTCTATATCCTAACTGTTCATGTAAGGGTTAATTTGAATCAAGAATAAATTTGGAATTGTATCTCCAATTCTCAGAAATGTTATTGAAACTTTGTTATGTTCCTGGAAAATGATATTTACATGACATGACATGATAAGGATTCTGGAATGACCTTGTTAATTGTCCAAGATTTCGGTATTTGTAATCATCTGGGTTTTATCCAATATGCATACATTATGTAACATCGAATTATAACTAAAAACAGCTGTTTATAACTTGTGAAAAACAATGTCATTGTCACGCCCATATGCTCATTTTTCCCCCTCCCATCCTGCTATGAAAATGGGGTATAAATATAACTGACGTATGAATACAATTTGAATTGGTTATTGAACACGTCTCTGCTATTCATTTCCAATTTCCAGAGCTCTGTATGAGTTGGCAAATATCCATCATCCACAAAGGGCCAGGCTGATTTTATCCCCAACAAATATATGTACAGTTCAAGATAAAATAAGATAGAAGCTTGGTGGGTATATTAAAAATATTCATCATATGTGAAATCTCTTTGAAATACTTTTTTTCCTTTAACCTGTTTATAGCAGACCAAACAAATGTGCAATGTTGCCCTCTGTATGGCCCATGGTTAAAGAAATAAATATACATGTTTTAGGTTATTTACATTATGTATTATAATATTCTATGCACATATTTCACTATATGCTTCATAATGTCGTATTTCTCTTATGTATTTTCTTTTATAGTGGATGGGGAAATGTCCCCCCTGCCACCCCGTCAACCCCCCCGCCCCCCACACCAGTTTCCTTTTTATTCTGTAACCGTTTCCTTAGTTAATGTCTCTGTTTAAAATATATATATTACACATTTTTAATAAAATGTAATTTGAAAAAAAAGCAGATTGTTATTAAAGATAAAATAGCGAGGGGGGAGGGGGCCGAACCGCCAAGCTGGACGGTCGCATGAGAGTCCAGCTCCTGCTAAGCATCCACAATTATACACCTAAAAATGGCATATGACCTAAAAATAAGCCAACGGCACGGGTACTCGGTGCCAAGGAGACACCAGATGCAGGGAGAGGCTGGCTCCTGGAGCTACAGTCCCCTGGAGGTGAAGCCCTCATCGACCGAGTGGGGGCCTAAGCCGGGGGTGAGAGGGGCGGACGGCTGCTGCTCCTCTATCCTGCCTAATGGCACAGAATTGGAAGCTGAGACCCGGGTGGACCCGGCCCCGTTCCCCCCCCTACGGACCGGCTGGGGTGATCCCGGTCCTCACCCAGAGGCTACACACCCAGGGCCCGAAGACAGGGCCATCCCGCTCGAGGACATGAACACACCACGCAAGATGGCGGATGCCATGTGTGCCGAGACCGGCGGACGGGACTGCTCAGTCACAGAGAACAGAGCGACTGACGAGGACACCAGAAACGAGGGGGGCAGAAAGAGCCCAAGCTCACCGTACCAAGCACCGCAGCCCCATGAGCAACCACTCACCCGCCCACCCCACGGGCCGTATCACAGGCAAACAACGGCGGAGGCCTATCCAGACTCATAACGGCTGCTGCACTTACTCACAGCGCCCACTACCCACCCATGCCAGTGACTGTAGTCCCCACAACAGAAGGTACTCCCAAACAGGGCCGACCGCAAACCTACCCTGCACGCATCACGCAGCACAGCAGCCCAGAAGGGGAAACCACAGGGCCCACCAGCACACTAACGTATGAAATAGCCTCCAAACATCCTCCCTAATAGACACTCACCTCTGGATGTCCAGAGGAAGCACTCTTGGCTGTTTGGGGAGACAGCCCATGGGACACCCACAAGGACCACAGAGACACCCCTGGAGCGTCACTACCTGAACACCGACAAACACCCGAACCCGGTCACACTGGCACGTCAGATCGGACATTGGCTAAGCACAGGCCTGCGACCACTAACAAGGCCTCGGGCCCACCAAGCCAAAGGCCCCTGGGATGTAAACCACCATAAGAACTCCAATGCCACTGGGCATTGGAGAAGACTGATTGCCAGCCTACTGCCCTGTGACTATGGCCACATGTTGAAATGCTTGATTTTCCCCTGCAAAGACCCAAAAGCTGGGTCATTCGGTACTTTCCCTATTTGAACAGTGATACCCCAGATAGCTATGCCATGGAGCCCATTCGTATAATGAAAGACTATGTGAAAGACTTTATCTCCATGGCAATTGAACTGTATGTATGTGATCTGAGCGCCATTCAGTAATAATGTGCGCTCAGATCTAAGCTATCTGGGGTTATGTTGAATTTACTTGTTTTATGCTTTAGCTGCACAGTTATATATATTTATGTATTTTATTGTCTTTTGCTACCATGTGGCTAATGGAGTTTTGCCTCTGTCCTTGGAGATAATTGGATTACTTCCCAATTATCTCCAGGATAGAAGTATCTGTGGAACCAGTTTTGGGCAGAAAAGCCATGCTTTATTTGGTCACAAAGGACTTCGATCTAACTTTTGACCCACTGGACCAATTTGTATGATTTTGACGTATGTTTGTATTTGGAGTATGCTGATTCTGAAAGTAAGTTTTATGTGAATGTGATGCATACTTTTAAAGTTATGAATATTGTGTAAAACTGTGTATTTTCCTGTCTGTGATAATTACATTAACCCAGTGTGTACGGTAATTGTATCACAGGCAGAGGGGAGGATTTTGTGTGGGAGTGTCTGAGTGTATTGTACGTGTTTATTTGTTGTTTTACAAAACCCTGTGGGTAGTACTAATGTGTAAGAATGTGTATATAAGAACAATAAACCCACAGCTCGGCTAGTTCTACTTCACCCTCAATTTGGAGTGCCATCTCTTATTGGGGGAATCTGCTACAAGGGATTGCTATTCTAGTCATACTCTCTTGTTATATCACTACTAAGCTCTTGTATATGGGTATTTTTGAGAAAGGTAATGATAAAATAAGCACAGAATTTTTAAGGAGGAATTAGGTTAATTAATAATAATAATATAATTAACAAATAAGACACCATTGAATTGATTATAAGAAGGATAACACATTAAAAGTTAAAGGTTAATATTCTGGTTATTGAAATAATATGTCACACAATTAGGGTATGAAGGATTAGTTTATAAAAGCTTCACATTATTAGATTATGAGTATATATAATATGTAAGAAATTTTGTGATCGGTTAAGTATTGTGAAAATGGTGTAAAGTAAATATGTATATATTATGAGAAAATCCACTATGAATAGATTTGTGGTTAAGTTGTTGGACTATTTGTATATAATTCTATGGCTAGATATTGCAGAATACTGATGGAACGCAAAAAAACGAAGGTGGAACGCAGGCCATTTCCGGATATACATGACTTCCGGGTTTACGAGTACAGTTGGAACGCATAGCACTTCCGGTTTTTGGAACGCACGGAAGTGCCGAAAATAACCGGAGAATTACAAAAATGATGAAGATCAACTGTGAACACCTGGGAATAAGATCTTCAACAGATGAAACTCATCTACACAGGACCAATGAGGAAGGACAGAGAGGCACATGTGATTAATTACTTTTAGGGATTAGCCCTATTTAAAGGACTTGAGGGTGGAGGGATGTTAGGCTGTTTTTGTGATTGTACTGCATTGATTGTTATTTTAATATTTTGGTCCCTGAGGAAGTCCCATATTCTGTAGAAGGGACGAAACGCGTAGGACCTTTATCTGTATCTATTTTATATTTTTAAACAATTAAAGCCGCTTTTTTCATATCTTCACCTGGAGTCCTGCATTTTGAGTGGAAGTGTCCAGGGGATTTCTCTAGCCCCCCATATCATCAGGGGTGGCACCATATATGCCTGAACTGTCCAATATCCTGTGAGTGCATTTCATATTGCGCAGTGTTAATATTTTAAAACTGTATTACACTATATCTCTTTTTATTTATCTTCATTTAGACAATCAGCCGGTTCCCTCGTTGTGTTTTTGTATATTCTTAAGCTCTTGTAAGAGCTTGTTCCTGTCTTGCTCTCTGAAGGAGTCTGCGGTGGTTATGGTGTCGGCTGTTTTTAACCCTTTATTGACCACCGCGGGCAAGGTGTGGAGGAGCGGGGGGAGATAGAGGGAGCTATAGTGCAAGGAATACAGCTTTGTATTTTTGTCCCTTATAGTATCCCTTTAAAGCACTATTAACTCTGTAAGCATTTTGTGTATCTGGAAAAATTGGAGCCAGTGAAAGAGAAGTTCAATTAAAACTACGCTTACAAACAGAAAATATTAGCAAATGCACAGAATAACTTGCATTCTGTAGATTATATTATACATTCTTACTATTCATATTTAAAATGATTCCTACTGCTACAATAATAGTAATACACTACGTTCCAGAATGTAAAAGCACACCAGAAAGGGGAGAACTAACACAATTTACATAATTACACTGGTGCTTGCCAAATCCCATTAGCCAAGAGGTTCTTGAAATGTTTCTGTTGGCATCTAAAAAAAGTTCTATTGGTACCCAATATAATTAACACCTCTTACCTGCTCTTAAAAATAATGTTTGTATCTTGCTTCTAAACTGTAGAGAGACACTTTAAAGTATGAAAACTGTCCAAATTCTAAATATTTCAAAGAATGATTATTTTTGTTGACATTTCAAGATAAAATAGGAATATTTTCGACCACAAATCCAGTTTAGAATAAAGATAATACACAATGGACAATTCATGTTCTTTAAACAATTCACCATTGTAACTTTGGCTCAAAGACTTTAAGAAATTCATGAGCCTTGCCCTGATTTACAAGAATACTTGCAGTTAACGTGCTTGTCTTGTTTCAAGGTGAGAATTACTGTACGTGAAATTGTACAATCCCTTCCACCAGACCATTATATTATTTGATAATTATTCTGTTGTATAATATTTTAAAACTACAGATGTCACTTTTTCACAAGGAAAATCATGAGGAACAGAAGGGAGAAATGAAAGCTAGCCTGTGTCTCACATCTTTAAACAGATGCAATCAGCGCTATACTTCCCCTACCTGCTACTTAATTAGCTCTGAATACCGTCTGAATTAATGTATGAAGTGAGCTCGGGAACCGTTAGGAATAATTTATGCAAATTGCAGCTGAACATTTGACAGTTTAGGTGAATGCAGAGTCATATATTTGTATTAGTTAACCCTTTCTTCATTGAAAGGCTGAATTATGACCAGAGGCTGAGAATGCTTAAAAGTTCAATATTAATATTAGTCTTTATAATAACTCTGATCTTCAATTATCTAGCTTTGTGCCTTCAGTGTTCCCAATCCCACAAGGAAATTTGTTTACTGTAACAATGTAGTTAGGGGCACTAATTAAGAATATGGTCACATACTTCCTCTTCTAACCATTATTTGTTTTTCAAATGCTCTTTGTCACTGTGCTTTTGTCTTGTGCTAAGTCACCCTCTGGGTATCTTATGGGTTTGTGGGGA